CGTCTCTATTAAAAATACAAAATTAGCCACGTGTGGTGGCGCATGTCTATAATCCCAGCTACTTGGGAGGCTGAGGCAGGAGAAGCGTTTGAACCTGGAAGGCAGGTTGAGGTGAGCCAAGATCACACCATTGCACTCCAGCCTAGTCAACAAAGGCAAAACACCATCTAAAAAAAGAAAGAAAGAAAAGGAAAAGCTTGAAGAAGGCATTTAAATGATTTTTCAAACTATCTGTGGTCCAAACAGACCTTCTTTAACTAGAATTATCATATTAAATATTTCAAGAGAGACTGGTTTCTCTGTAAACAAAGCTTGGTGACAGAGTGGTTATTCATGTTTGCTTTCTACAGGATTTGCTACAGCCTTCCAAATTTCTCTACTCTGCTGACAAATTTAATGCCATTACACAGTGTGATTACTGTGTATTCTATACACAACTCAAGCTGTGTCTTCACACAGGGAAGTATCCTGACCACAGTGAGCCAATTAAAAATTCAGAAATTTTCCAGAGACTTTAAAATTATCTTTCACTCAGGTCTTTTTTTTCTGAGCCTTTATGATAGTATTCCTCCCTCCTTCCACAAGAATGATTTTCGAGTACATCATAGTCATAAACTACCTTCAGCTTGCCTTTGGAATCTGCCTGTGTGAGATTTGAAATCAAGAGTCTGAAAGAATTGAAAAGTCTTAATAAAAGCCTTTCCAAGATTCTAAAAGAAGCCACATTTCGTATTTCTTCTTGGATAGTTTAATAAAACTAAGATGAACTGGACAGGGACCAGTGAGCTATAGGATTATGAGCTTTCACCTGAAAGGTAATAATGAAAACATAATAACGCAAGTTCCTAATCCAGGCTTGGAGTGTCCTGTGACCTCCAGTCTATCATTTGTGCAAGTTTGGTGTCACGGTGGGAAAGTAATCAGAAAATAAGCAGAGCTTAGTTAGGGAATATCAGAACAAAATGTTTAAGTGAGAACTTAGAGTATTTTTTTTCCTACAGCAATACTGTTATATAATCAAATACACATAAGTAAAACAGATGTCCACAGAAATTATAAATTGTAAATTCTTCGTTCTTAAACAATCTTCAACCATTTCCTCATGCATTCTTGCCAATCTTTAAAAACTGCCTTATATATGTTTAAAATGACCCTAAAGAATCTAAAACCTCTTGTCCCTTTATAAAATAAAATCTCATACTTTTAACCTTAAAATTTGTGAAAACCTTTTTTTAAAAATGTTAAGGCATTTCCATATTCCCTGAAAGATTTCCCATTAAGCCATAAATTCAGCAAATAAAATGACCAGGGAGAGGACAGTGCGTCAGTTAGAACACAAAGAACAATGAGGACAGCTCGTGTTGCCTCCTCATACTAATCTTCCTCTTTTCCCACCACTAGTAAAACCAAGCAGAGACACTACACTGAATTCTCTTTCTCTTTCCATCACCTCACCAGTGGCTCTCCTCCAACAGAGTAGAATAGCCTGGTCAAGATCTGGGCACCTCTGATTCCCAATCTCCATTTCTAGTCTTGACATTTTTCCCAAAAACATATCCTAAGTTTCTACCTGTGTGGAAGGACATTACCACACAGATGTCCTAACACCCTTTCAAAGGCCTCATGCCCTGTAACAAACACACCCCAGCTTCAAACACCAATCCTGCTTCTTGCTCTGTGCTCCTAGGCTTTATAAAGATATCATCATCTCCTCAACCACAGAGACCCTCTAAGGCTGATATAGTTTGGGTATTTGTCCCCTCCAAATCTCACACTGAAATGTGATCCCAATGTTGGAGGTGGGGCCTGCTGGGAGGTGTTTGGGTCATGGGGGTGGATCCCTCATGAATGTCTTTGTGCTGTCCTGGCAGTAATGAGTGAGTTACCATAAAATCTAATTGTTAACAAGTGCCTAGTATCTCCTCCTTTCTCTCTTGCTCCCCATCTAGCCATGTGACACTCCTGCTCCCCCTTTACCACCATGAGTAAAAGCTTCCTGAGGCCTCACCAGATGCAGAAGCTGGTGCCATGCATCTTGTACAGTCTGCAGAACTGTGAGCCAAATAATCCTCTTTTCTTTATAAATTACCCAGCCCCAGGTATTCCTTTAGAGCAATGCAAAACAGGCTGAGCAAATTACCTCCCTAAGCCTGTTTCCTTTTCTGTAAAAGCTGACAGTGACAATAACTACATGGTGATCAGGAGATTAAATGAGATAATGATAACATAGGCACTTTTTCATTAGATATTCCCCTTCCTCACTCTCTGTATTTAATCACTGGCCAATGCCTATCAACTCTGCCAACAAATGTCTCTCAAATCCTGCCCCAATTTTCTATTCCTACCATCATTGTCCTGGTTTGGACACTCAGCATTTCTAGCCTGAACAATTGCAAAACTCTTGGACTGGTGGCCTTGTTCCCTTTCTTCTCCAATCTGGTGGCCTATTACTGCTCTATGAGATTGGGCTATGATGGGACTCAGTCCTTTTGTCGATTTTCCCAAAACACAGCATAGTGCCTGACACAGAGTAGGCATCCAACAAACACTTCTTGGCAATGCTGGCTGGCTCCAAATTCATCATTCCAACCACCAGACACAATGAAGCCATGCTCTAAGAAAAAACTCAATCTCGTGAGCATTGAAGGAAGGCCTTTGCACACTTAATGAGGTTGCATGACAACCTTATTCTCAGAGCCCGTGGCCCTCAAATCCCTGCTTCTTCCCCTTGAACTCATTGTGGTATATCAGTACAAAGCCCTCAGGCCTAGATTACTAGTTAGTAAGCAAAATTTGTTCAACACAGGCAGAAATCATGAGTTGTGTTAAATAATGATAGGTAGGTAGGCTAAGTAGAGCACGAGTATGTTAAACATAGAAAGAAAGGGTTCGAAAAACCAAAAGATAACTAATTCTCAGTAGGTCTTAAATATACATGAGGCACCTGGACTCTAAATATTCATGATATGCTAAATATATAAGGACACTAAATATTCATGAGCACCCAATATCTATGAGGCCTCAATTTGGCCACTCATACATTGGAGACACCCATTCTGGCCCCATGTGACCTCTGCCCAAGAAACACAAACAAAACGCAAGACTATTCAGCAGGCATATTGACAAGCTACAGCCACAGCTAGGCACACTTTTCCCTGCATCTCTCCAACGGAGACAGTGTGTGCTCTCAGCCCGAGGCCCCTTCTGTCTACGGTTCTCCTTGCTTGAACCTCAATTCTAGTCTCCATATTAGTAGCAGGGAAGGGTAGTGAAACAGAGACAGAACCATTGCTGGCCCCAGGATTCAGGCAGTATGGTCCTTCTGCCTACTTGTACCCTGTCCCAAGTGTGTGAACCTACCCTATCTCTTTCCCTCTTGCTTCTCATCATGTGTTTTAAATTACTTTAATGCATTATGTGATTCATGCATTTTAAAGTGATCCATCAGCCTTCTGTTTTGTGGCCTCTGGGAGAGCCTGCATGTATAATTCTCAGAGGCCACCACTGCATCCAGGTAACATCCCACACAACACTATCCCTGCTGCATAGAGAAGAGATTGTATGAGGAGGAGGAGCAAGAATGGAAACAGGGAGACCACGTCAGGCAGCTATTCCATTCCTTTAGTCAAGAGATGAGGGTAGCTTGGGTGAGGATGGTAGTGAAGGGGATGGAAAGACATGGACATATTCAGGATATGTTTTTCTAGGAGGATTAAGAACAGGGATGGTAGTTATGAGCAAGTGGGTAAAGTAAAAGGAGTAGAGATTGTAGTCAGAGAAGGCAATTTCAGAACCTGAGATACTGGAGGTGGCAATACTCTAAAAGGCAAAGAAACAACAGTACACCCAAGAATCATAGCTCCTCAGGGAACAAAGTACCCTGGAAGGTCATTTACACTAGCGACCACTCAAATCCTCTCATACTTCTACTAAGCTGTCAGTGAAAAACAACCCTGACCTGCCCCCAGGGCCATCTGTCTACATGAGGGAGCAAACAAATCTGTGACTCTCCTCTCCTCCGCTCCTATACCAGACCCCTAATCCCAACCCTATCCAGGTCCATTCACTACAACTTCTACCAGCTCTCTGCCAGAAAGTTTTTCCTCTTACTGACCTGAACTCTGACCCCTAGGTCACATCCATGAAGATACAGAAAATAAGGTCACCCCTCCTCCACATGACAGCCCTTTAGATTCCTGAGGATATTTATCAAACACACTTGAGTCTCCCCGTTACAGACAAATATCCTTTTCGCTCTTCTGTCTTACACATGACAAATTTTCGGTTCTTTCGCCGTTGTAGTTTCTGTCCCCTGAAGTCATCCAGAACTCAGTAGCATCCCAAGAGAAGGACCCATAGCACAAACAGAAGAAATTAGGCACTTCCATTGATCTGTGCCATACTTAATGCAACCTAGAATTAGCTTCTCTGGTGGCCACATCACAGAGTTAACTCTTATCCATGGCTGAGTGCAGTATGGACAAAGATGACTTGCATACATGGGGTGAAGGAACAATGACTCTCTGGTGAGGTACCATCAAAGTTTGTAGTTAACAGGTATAAGGATGAGGAGGGGGTAGTTGAAACAAATGACAATAAATTCAAGAAGAGAATGCCAATCTGGAAGCTACAGTGGAGAACAGCTTTCTCTCCTCCCCGAATGGTGTGGTGAAGGAAGTGATCTGTTCACAGCAAGGATACCAAAGGGTTTGAAAAAAATCGAAGACACAGGAGGGTTTACTCATACCAGAGCAGCACCTGAAAACATACAAGTATGCCACAGAGGAGTGAGAGGCCCGGCCAATGTTGACGTGCAGAAGGTAGAAAGCTGGTAAGTCACCATCAGTAACCACACGCTAATGGCATGTTTATATTCACCATTGCCAGCAGGTTAGACAGCCTGAGCAGTAGCATGCAGTCTTTTGAAAAGCTAAAGACAGACAATATATAAAGGCAGAAGTCAGAAGTGAAAGAATCATAAATCGGCTTTAAATAGATACCTTGAGGCAATCCACTATTTTTCACCTCTGGTTCATTGACTTGAATTGTGTCATCTTCAGGATAGTAGTAGATTTTATAGTATCTTATTCTGTAGTTGGTTTGGCTTTTATCAGGTACTTCCTCTTCCAAATAGGCATCAAAAGATAATACCTGTTGGAATCGTAATTAGAAACTAAGAATTGAAAAGAAAATTCAGCAAACTTAAAATAAACAAAGCAGCTGCCTGTATACTTTTTGTTAATATAGAAAAAAGTAGAGAGAATTTTTCAAAGAAGACATTCTATACATCAGCTGTGCGAATGGATACACAATCTAAGATACAATACATAAAGATTATTTTATACTTTTATCACCATCTGGTTAGAACAAGGAAATGATATTCAAGTAATACATCCATCGTTCAGCTGTACCAGAAACTGAACTGGAGTCTGCCTTTGGGATTTCACAGTGGGATTCTAAATGTATGTGTTATAGAGACAAAATATTCTTTCACACCAGATGAGTAAGTTTTGTCATTTTTTTCCCCATTAACAATAACACAAAGCTGCCTTGGTTCTGGCATAAAATTATCCTGTTAGTCCTGACGATTTCTTGCCTTCAGGCAATTCAAGCAGGCATATCTGAAATTCTTCCAATGCCCTGGAGACCCTACCTTACACTTCGGGAACCTCAAGGAGCCTAGTCCAATGCTAGACTCAGACTCATCTTGTATGGGGGCGGTAGGGAAAAAGAAAGGGAAAGACAGGTGGATTCTAAAGCAGTTATGGCAAAATTCAGAGATAGTCAAAAATATCCTTGAAAATTCCTTAACTACTTTAGAAAACTGTGCCTCTCAGTAAGTAAAACACAGCCCATTTTTCTCCCATGTTGAAGCAGATGACTGCCTGCTTCCTCAGTTGAAGACCAGTTAAAATCATTTCGTTATGCTTAGGTGCCATGTTGTATGAATAATATATATCTTTAACCATTGGGATCATTCTTAATATGGCATCCTGCTCACACACTGAGAACGACAAGGTAATTGAGGACAACTGTGGGAACAGTGGATTCAGGCTGCCATTTCAAGCTTGACCTGCGGCTCAGGCTCTCTAAGAGCTCCACTTAAATATTCTCTTTGTCTCTCACTTTTGATCAATTTTTATAATTGAAGTTGCAAAAGTTAACTGCGCATATGATATAAATCCAGGGTTATTCAACGTGGACAATATGATATATATGAAAGAGTCTGTTAGATGCAATCTACCCTCTAGGAGTGGTGGTCAGTTAACCTAATTAAGAATATACACTCCAGGAGTGTTTAGCAAATTTCTATCAGAAGCTCACAATTCAGAAGTGGCTAACAAAATGCCTCAGAATCTTTTTCTCCGATCAACACAAGAAGCTTTGTCAATTGCCATAAATGATGTGAGAAATAAATTTTAGTGGAATGATTATATTCAAAATGCATACATCAGTTACAAATACTAACCAGGCACTGCCCTTACAGGAACAGGTTCTAAGAATCTGGTGAGCCCAGAGATCTGCACCCTTCAAAATGGCACCTTTGGCTTCATTCCCAAATAGTCCTATGTTCAGCTGCTTTCTTAAGAAATTTGTCTGGTCTGACTCCAATTAGGTTAGCTAAACCCCACTGCTAGAATGCTGTCACATTTGTATTGAGTGAACATTTCAGATAAGATGCTGTTGGACAACTATAGAGTTTCCTTCTGTGGTGACAAAAAAGTCTTGGAACTAGATAGATGTGATGGTTGCACAACCTTGTGGATATGCTAAATGTCAGTGAATTGCACTCTTTAAAATGGCTAATGGATAATTTTATGTTATGTGAATTTTACCTCAGTTAAAAAAAGATATTAGACACTGAATTGTGTTGGACACTTTAAAATGGTGAGTTTTTGTCATGTGAATTATATTTCTTTTTTTTTTAAGTAGGAGGAGGGAGCTGGGTACAGTGGCTCAGGCCTGTGGCAGGAGGATCACTTGAGCCAAGGAGTTGGAGACCAGCCTGGGACAAATAATGAGACCCCATTTTTACAAAAAAATTAAAAACTTAGCTGGGCGTGGTTATGTGTACTTGTAGTCTTAACTACTAGGGAGGCTGAGGTGGAAGGATCGCTTGAGCCCAGGAGATCGAGGCTGCAGTGAATTATGACCTCACCACTGCACTCCAACCTGGGTGACAGAGTGAGACTCTGGCTTAAAAGTATTTTTTTTTTAATAATGAGGAGGAAGAAAAGAACACCTAAAAGGAAAAAGAGCTGGAACTTCATCAAACTTTCAGTGTGGGTAATATTTAATCTGAGATTTTTTTTTCTTTGTAATCAAGTAGAAAAGTGTAGAGAGAATATTCTTGGCTCTCACCCACCTCTATACACTGAATGCTACCAGTATAAATTTGTGAATGAATACATTGGCACAGGTCAACTGACAACTGGCAGAGATCAATTGTCATATATGTACTCATTAAATATTTATCAATTGACTGATGCATTAAAAGAAAAGGATGCCAAAATGAAATAAAGGAAAAGGAAAGACATTATTTTAGGTTGGGCTTCAATATGTCTAGATGAGGGACAGACTGATATTTCATGTTCTGATCCCATGACAATACAGGTCAGTCAAACTCCAGCATGAGAGATACAGAGCAAGTCAGAAAGAGGTAGAGATGGAAAAACAAAAAAGAAAGAGGGAGAGGAAATGATAAAATGTGACAAAGTAGAATGTAAGAAGAAAGACACCAAATAGATTAAGAAGTAATCTCACAAAAATAAATGACCGAATTGCAATGGAACTTGATGTATCAGAGAATCCAGAAAAAAAGAACCTAAAATAAAAACTGTTAAAAATGAAAATTTATAGGAACATAATTATGACATAAGGTGTTATCATCATTTATGATGCCAACTACAAACTAGATAAATAAGGTCCTAGACCAGGCATGGTTGCTTACACTTGTAATCCCAGCACTTTGGGAGGCTGAGGCAGGTAGATCACGTGAGGTCAAGGGTTTGAGACCAGCCTGACCAACATGGTAAAACCCTGTCTCTACTAAAAACACAAAAATTAGCCAGGTGTGTTGGTGCATGCTTGGCTTATAATCCCAGCTACTTGAGAGGTTGAGGCAGGAGAATCGCTTGAACCCAGGAGGTGGAGGTTGCAGTGAGTTGAGATTGCACCACTGCGCTCCAGCCCAGGTGACAGAGTGAGATGCTGTCTCAAAAAAAAAAAAAAAAAGAATAAAAAAGAAAAAGAAAAAGAAGGTCCTAGAGGATGTACCTGGCTGCAGTTTTCTTGAAAACAGAATATAAATATCATTTGGTGAGGGCATGTGATCTTCAGTCCCCCACAGGCCTCTGCAGGCCCGATGATATTATATGAGATTACCTGCCTGATCCCCAAGGAATCTGGAATTTTAATCTTACCCTAGAGGATATAAAACCTTAGGCAGGATGCAGTGATCACACATGTAATCCCAACACTTTAGGAGGCTAAATCAGGAGGATTGGATCACTTTAGGCCAAGAGTTCTAGACCAGCCTGGGCAACACGAGTCCCCATCTCTACAACATTTTTTCTTTATTTAACTAGCCAGGTAGGGTGGTGCATGCCTCATAGTCCAAGCTGCTCAGGAAGCTGAGGCAGGAGGGCTGCTTGAGCCCAGGAGTTCAAGGCTTCAGTGGGGCTATAACCATGTCACTGCATTCCAGCTTGGGTGACAGAAAAAACAAAAAAGAAAAAGAAAAAAAAAAAAAAACCCTGAGTCTGAAATCCATCAGCTTTAAATAACAGGTATATGATTTCCTCATTCCAAAGGAAAAAGTTTAAATGTTAATATTTCTGAATTCAGGATCTTCTTACAATTAAAGCCAAAACAATCTCAAAGCAATCAAGAATGCATTTTGGCCAGGTGCAGTGGCTCACACCTGTAATCCCAGCACTTTGGGAGGCCAAGGTGGGCAGATCACAAGATCAGGAGTTCGAGACCAGCCTGACAAACATGGTGAAACCCGATCTCTACCAAAAATACAAAAATTAGCTGGGCGTGGTAGTGTACACCTGTAATCCCAGCTACTCAAGGCTGATGCAGGAGAATCACTTGAACCCAGGAGATGGAGGTTGCATTGAGCTGAGATTACACCACTGAACTCTAGCCTGGGTGACAGAAGGAGACTCTGTCTCAAAGAAAAAAAGAAAGAAAAAGAAAGAGAATGCATGTTAATGGGCAAGTAGTTCTAACTCGATGTATGGTGTAAATCTAGCTTTGTAGGGAAGGATCTATCCTATCTTCAAGTCAATTGAGTTATGTGCTTTGCATTGCATATCCCAAACAGCTGGATTTTAACATTAGATTCCTAACTTTGACATAAAATGTTTGAAAATGATTACTGTCTGAAGCAGTATGACAAAAAAAATAACTGCATGGAAAAGGTTGTCCACTGGAGGCTAGACCATGCAATCATAAGGCAAAAGCAAAACCCTAATCTCTTAGAATAAGTCACATAATTTTTAAAGATGGGGATGCTGATATGGCCAACGCATTAGTCAGAAAGACTATTACTTCAGGAACCAAACATCTAAATGTCAAAAACTTACAGCTGAATTTCTAGAGAAGCTGTCAGGAAAGGAAGATGAAACATCAGCAATGTTCAATAACCTCGACATTTTATAAAGAGATCAACATCGCATGTCCAAGTTTAATATGTTTAAGCTCTCTTTTATGAAAAAGGCTCAGACTTAAATTGTGAAGTACTATAAAAGGGACATAATGGTAAAGATAAGTACATGCCCTATATGTTAGTTAGTAGATAGTAAAAATTTATGTACATTTAATGCTGTGTTGCTTATTCCTCCTGAAAAAGGTGTTATTAAATCAATGGTTTCTCTCATGATTATGGAATCCCATGATCAAGGAAATAAACAATAACAAATTCTGTGTAGCATATAAAGGATGGCTCCTTTATACATGACAATATATATATTTACAGAAATATTTCTGAAACATATGCAAATTCACAAAAATTCTAATAAATTTTAAAAACAGAAAAAATACACAAGTTGTAGTCACTGATCACAAAGTAATACAACTAGAAGTGTATAATGTACCTATAAACAAAAATTGTCACTCCTCTTAACTGTACAAAAGATAATTTT